TGAATGTTTAACTGTGTGAATGTGAGCAGGGGGGAAAACAGAGAATTGAATAAATAAATGCTAAGTTAGGAAAAGGCCCGTTAAGGACTGAGACATCCAGTGTAGTGGGAGCCAAGCTCTTTTTGTTGGATTTGGGGAACCTCAGCCAAACCTTGTCACTCGATATAGAATTACGTTTCCCAAACTCGTCAGTTAGTCGTCATCTTCAAAGCCTCTTGAAATAGTAAGAAATACTGCGAACAATAAAGCATAAATCTAATCTCTGTGTTGCTTGTCTAAGTGTGTGTTTCTGTGGTAAGCATTCAAACAGGGCTATGTTCAAATTATGTTCATTTGAATTACTTCAGCTCTACCCTGCAATACAAGAACAATGCTGCTCTGTCGTCTAGGAATCAGAATCAGGTTTATTACCAAAAAAGGAATTTACCTTGTTAAGTTGGTACATAACAATTAAAGAAACAATATATATAAATATAAAATATAGAGACAATATGGCAGAATATTTAAATAAGTGAATGAAGCTGTACAGGAATGTCCTAAATGTTGTCCGGGGAATCTGCAAGTTAGCAGGTGTGACACAAAGATAAAAACCAAGGAAAGTGCACACACATCAACCTTTTAAGAGTGAGCTTTACCCGTAATTTAATAATCATTATCTAGTTCTGACTGATAAAAAAAAAAGAGTATTTCAGCTGCCGAAGTTAACAGTTAGAAATTAGAAACCTTTTTCTGTGTGAAATCAAATACCTGATGTTTAAAAAAGGTTACTGTAAAGCTGCCACTGTTCATCCCTGTAAACTGCATGTGTAGAGGTTGACAGGCTCAGTGAAATGTTCCTACGTGTTCTGACTGTGCACCAATGATGAGTTCATACTTTTAATTTGTTGATTCTTTGGTCTGTTGGTCACACAGTATCTCAAGCACGCTTAACAACTCACATCAACGGCACTCAACAGCTCTTCGGTACAGAGGAGGAAGTATGTCTCCTAACTAGTCCAAAAGTAAAGTCTAATTTTATTTCTATAGCCCAAAATCACAAGCTGTACAGCATATTGTCCTGAGACCCTTGATTCAGATGAATTCCCTTCATGCTACAAACAGAAAAAGCTAATAAAATCATAGAAAATCAATAAAATAAAAGTTATTTATGAGCATATATAAAACACGTATTCATGTTTTCAGCAATATAGTGACGATAATAAGGTTTGTTTGACGGAGAAAGTCTCTGTAAGCTACCGGCTGCTGCATCTGTCAATCATACAGAAACAGACGTAGACCTGCAGACTGCTGACCCTCCGTGGTACGTAGGTTAAAATCAATCCTGACCTGTGTGATTGTTTGTGTCTGTGCAGGACTACCCCAGGAACAGACACCCAGGGTGGAGCCGAGGGTCGGTGGCGTACCACGCAGGTGAGATTTAAAGCCCCTACTCTTCCTCTCTTCCTGTCTTCCTCTCTCCGTTTTCAGTTCTGTATTTTCTCAAAAAAAGAGAGGTTGTGCGCTACTGTGGAATTTCCCTTGTAGTCTCGTTTGACTGAAATAAATAAATCTGATATACTTCCTCTAAAGCATCTACTGTATCTGCTGCCTTTTTAGATGCAAACATCACAGGGCACCGTCTCAGCTGGATGTTAAGGTGCCTAGCACAAACAGAGAGGAAGGAGGATTGCGGGCAGATAAAAGGGACAGAAAAGCAGATAAAACAGACGGTGACAGCATCAGAAAGAAGGAAACAATCGTATCTCCATCTCTCTGTCTCTTTTGGTCATCTAAGTATCTCTCTAAGCAATGACCCAAAAACAAGACACAAAGAACTGAGTTTAGTTATCTTTATCTTCCCATGTGTACACACAAACACACGCGTTCAGTCTTGGTTGTTTGTGACGACAGGCCTGTGAACATTATCTTTACAGGCATCTGCACAACCCCCCCTCACAGCTCTCATTCCTCAGCACTCCTCACTATCAGTGCTAAGAGATTAGCTATCAAACGCCACTGCCGTGATGTGTGTATAGCAGCAGCCATGTAGGTGGTTGTTATTACGGCGTACGAGCTACAGTAGGTAGCCGGCTCTTTATCTCACGATCTGCTGTCACAGTCAAGATCTTGTTAGTCTTTATCACACGAAGCAGTTAGGAGCTAGCTAGTCTTTTATCTGCATTATTTTGGTCTGAAGCATCCCATTGTTAATCTGTTTTTTTCTTTCTTTTTTCCAACCAGGAAATGTGTAAGATTTTATTTTTAGAGGAAGGTTTATATACTTTCTTCCAGCTGACCTCCAATCAGCTATCAAAACACACTTTCTTGTTCACTCCGCACATTCCATTCATGTTTTCGAGTTGATGTTAAATCCCTGTATCCCTTCGCAAATTCCATTTATACTTAAGGATATATTAATAATAATAACAGTTGATGCAGCACGTCCTGCCGGGTTCTGATGATGATGCCTCATTGCTGAGTGACAGTCGAGGCCAGTCATTCACGGGGGCTCCACCGTGCCAGTCCCAGAGGTCTAACGCTGCGGTCTGCCTGGTTTTGGCTGCTGTGCGTTGGACGCCACAGAAATGTGCACGCCCCAGCATAGCTCCCATTAATCTTATTTGTTAGAGACTAAAATGATGTATGTGGTTTTCCACGCTGTGCGTATGAGGTTTGCCTTCCCATGCTTGGGTTAATGTACAGGCTCTGATCCAGCTACTTAAAATCAACAGCCAGGGCCTCTTCTTCGTGTCTCCCCCTCGCTCCTCCATACATCCAGGATTTTCACCAAACAGCTCGGGAACCTCAAGAATTGCATTGCGGACGCTCTTTGGCGGAGTGACAAAAACTTAATGTATACACAGTATTATATACACTAGGTCATATAACCATAGCAGAAATTGCTTAAAGAAGGAATGACTTTGTTACCTTGGTTTTCCTGCTCGCTGCGAGCCAAGATTGCTGTGAAAAGGTGTTTCTGTGACACGTGGTACGTCCGTTTATTGACTTAAGTTGGTTCGTTTTTGTATTTGACCTCAGTATCTTGGCAGGCTTTAGCTTTATATAGAATAGATTGTTGAAACTCTTGATTATATTTTTATTGTGCTAACCAACTGTTTGTAATATTTTTTATCATTAGCTTTCAAGAAAAGGCTGAAGATAGTTTAAATACATAAATTAAATAATGATTCAATTAAACATTCCTCCTTTTATTATTTATAGTTAGCATGTGGAGTTTGACTACTATAGCTCTATTTCTGTCCCCCTGATTTATGGTGCGTTGTATCGGGCACGCGACCAGTGTTGACCTGGATCACATGTAATGTGTATTATTGACTTTAAAGGTTGTGATTTTACTCCAGATATATTCCAGTTATATACACAAATGCCTGCCAACCATATCGCTGCTCCTTTGTATAGCTTGTATAGCTGAGTTCTTTGGCCTGCGCTGGTGTTACCACGAGTGTTTGTCTTGGGAGCTGGCCCAGTGTGGACCTCTATCCTGTGTTGGCTCCTCAAGTTAATGGGCCGTGGGGCACTGCGGGCCCCTGTGGGCCCCTGTGGGCCCTATCAGGAGCAACCAGCCATCCAACCAATGAGTGCTCCTCTGCAAGCCTCATTAACCCTGTCACCCCCTCCAAACCCCCCATCAGTGACTCACACGTGCTATGACTCAACACCCACAGCTGAAGGTTGTGCTCTACCACCACCGCCGCCAGCATCCATCCATCACCGCCGAGCCGACCTGAGATAATAGGGCTCAGTTTAACTCCTGCGCTCTATATCGGTGGCGAGATCTAATCTGATTCCAGCTAAGGTTCTGCAAAAACAAAATCAATACCAACATGTTGTGTACGGGGATTGTATTACCGTCTTACCTAATGGCACAAAAATGGATGACGATGTTTAACAATAACAGGCACAAAGAGGGAATCTGAGTTGAGCGTGTACCTGTGTGTGTCCACACTGTACACAGCTAAGAATTACAGCTGCAACTAATGATTATGTTCATTATTGATTCATTTACAGATTATTTTCCCAATTATTAATGAGCTGTTTGGTCTGTTGGCCACATGACCAGATCTCCAGTCATGAAAACACCTGGAAATGGGTTAAAATGACCAAATATCCTGGAAATAATCGACTTCGTCCTGGAAATTCATTGTATTTTAGTCTCATTCAGATCAACTGTGTAAACCTAAGTGGATATTTAGTTTAAAACTCGACATTTGGTAGGATAAGCTGCGAGATATAACACTTTACCAGACGAGAAGGAGACTTGCAGCAATCTCTTCAGCGTCAAGTCTATTTTTTCTGGAGTTACTCAGTGGAAATTGTGTAGATGGTATCTGATATACATGCTTAGAGTCTATTAATTATCAGATGTTGTGGTTGATAAATACACATCCAGCAATGTTAACTGCAACAATCACTTTAACCTTCTAGAAGATGTGTTCTCTGTAAAATAAAATATATTCCACTTGATTTCAACTGTAACTTAAAGGCTGTGGCCACATTAATGTTGAACGTGTCAAATGCTCATCTCCCTGGTGTCTGTCGCAGTATAGGTCATAAGCCTCCACGTTAGCAGATGGGACAAACAAAAAAAAATCGAATTTCTTTTCACTGATGTTTGTTCAAGCGTTAATTTTTCGGACAAGTTTAGTTTTAATTAGTTATTTGAAGCTATTTCACTTCATGATTGACAGCTGAGCCCTTCTCGTGCTTCAGTCGGCCAGGTGTATGGGCGGGACTTTGATATCGCGGCACCAACCCCGATCACCACCGCTCAGACTCTGGCTCTGAATGACGCCACCAACTCAAGATGGCATCCAATGTATCCTGGTTATTTTGGCTTCATTTTTGTTCGGTGGGAGGAAGCGTATATGTCGATGGTCCATACGACATAAATTAGATGATTCATGTTTGTTTCCCAAAGTGCAAACTGCAGATCATGTTGTCCTAAAAAAGACCACTAAAGATTCCTTCATAGAAAAAAAAGAATAGCAGCAACTCCTAACATTGAATTCAGAGACGTTTTTGCATTTTTTGCATCACAAAATGACTTAAATGATCAATCATCAAACTAGTTTCAGCTCTAAAGGCAATATATCAGTCACTCTACCTGCTTTTGTGTTCAACCTGCCGCCTAAGATTTACTAACTATGGCTGCAGCCTTTCATTGGTGATGATTCATCTGCTGGTTATTTTCACAATTGATTGTTTTGTCTATAAAAAGTTTAAAAATGTCCATCACAGTTTCCCAGAGCCCCACAGTGATCATATCAGATTACTTGTGTTTTCCCTCCAACTGTCCAAAGAGAAATGCTTTGATCTGAGGAGCTGGAACCAGAGAATGTTTGGAAACTTTAACAATTAATTGATTATCAAAATAGGATTTTTCTGTCCATCAATTTATAGTCGCAGTTTTTAAAACCAGAATCGGAGCAGAAGACGGTAACGTTAAAGCAAATGGAATTTATAGTAAATTCTTAGGAAACATGTGCAAACTCACATATGTGTGTATGTATGTGTGAGTGTGTATGTGAGTTGGTGAAATCATGGAAGAATATAAATATTTGGTTTTAATTTTTCATGTTTTCGGAGTCTGTGGAGTCATTGTTCCCTGGGCAGGGAAGCCCAGTCTTTTCCAGACAAACTCTCATGTTACGAGAAAGCCTGTTTTCTTGTTCCCAGCTGGCCTCAGTCAGAGAGAGCCTGCCCTCTCCTCCTGTGGGCCCGGCTCCAAACCCTCAACCCAGCTCCAGTTTTCACCTTCCTGACGCTGCCAGGATCACCTTAAGATCCAGCACCTGGTGGCGGTCACAGTAGCTAACTTTGTTAGCTTTACAAACAACTGGCTCAGTTTATGATCTTGACTTTTGCATTAACACCGTCACCCCGTATTCTGCTCCATACGCTCGCCAGCCTCCGAGCCAAACCGTGGTCAACACCTCTGTGCTAATTTTAAACTCTCTTTAGTGTTCCAACACAAATTTTAACATTTTCCTCCACAGCCCAGCTCCAGATTGAGTCTGCTTCCTGCATCTCGATTTCAAACATTTTAACCACCAAAGCAACAGAAAATATGAACGTGTGCTCAAAAACTAAAATAGCTTTACATGACTGCTGTAACTAAGACTGTGCAGAACATTTTCTAATTTAGTGCTGTCACTAATGATTATTCTGTTATTAAGATTTATTCTATCTATTCATTATTAATCAATTTCTTCCAAACAATTGATTCAACTTTAAAGAATTCAGTGTATCATTGGAGGGACCCACACTAGTCTTGGCCTCTGCTGCTTAGATTTTGACCATTATCTGTCTCTTAGTCCCCTAACTTAGGGTTCCCAACCTGGGGGGGTCGTGAGAGACAGGCTTGGTAGAAAACTTAAAAAAATATACACAGTAGGCAAATATTCAGCATTTGGTTCACATTTGCCAAACTTTGGGGTCAAGAAAACACAGAATTTGTCAAAAGAAGATAAAAAATATGAGAATTCATCCAAATCACTTGTTTTACACAAACCTCCTGCAGTTATAAAGTTCACTGTTTGGAGCAGCGTGTGTGTCGCTGAACCTCTCACTTCTTATTTCACCGCCAATGTTAACGGGTTAGACCGTGAATTCTTCGTTCGCCTCAAGTGATGCTTCACTAAAGAGTCAAAGTCTGCCCCATTTTTTCCGTGAGCGGTTCCCAGCATAAACAGACAGTGAAAAGAATCTGTTCAGAGTCATATTCACTCCTGTATATCTGTAGAATATGTAATGTTTCTGTGGACAGAATCCATGTCAAACTCAGTGTAGAAAGATAGCAGCCGCAGTAATGTTCTCTATGTGCTCACCACAGGCGAGCTGCAGCAGTTCAGCAACCGTCACGCTCTGCTCACGCATGCTGTGTCGTCACTGGGTCAGGAAATGGTGAAAAATGGCCGTTACATGATGTTCCCAGAGCTCCTGGCGATGTGTGCAGGTTGCTTATTTAGTCTGATCAACAGTCCAAACTCCAGTGAAATATAAAACGGGACAATGTTTTACATTTTTAATTAACAAACTAATTATTTAAATAGTCCGTGATTCATTTTTTTGTTGTTTTTGTTCTCATTCAACATTCACAGGCACATCTCTTAAGTAGGAGGAGCTACAGGCTTTTCCCATTTTATATAGTTGTATATTGTTCAAATAGTTCTCAGTGAATCCATAAATATAATCTAAACTTAAAACTGCGAATAAAGTGTGTAAAGTTTGAAGATTCAAGAGTCAACTGTCGCTAACATCCGTCCAGCCCTTCGCCCCCCCTCCGCCAGGCCTTTCCTACCTTTCCCGCCCCAGTGAACTAGCTCCATCCTTAGGTCCAAACCTGGACTTCCACACCCTTTGTCACCCCGGCTCACCTCCAGCGCCGGCCCTTGTCACTCTCCAAAAAAGCCCTGCTCTGCTATTTTTAGTCGCGCTGCGCCTGTGCCGGCGCGGCTCCACTGTTTGCCTAGTGTGTGGTGTTGTGACAAGGGCCCGCATGGGAGCCGTAATGATACAGTGTCTCCGTCTCCCTCCCGGTGCTCAGATAGAGATTGTTTAAACAGTATCCTGAGCCGGGGACGGGTCCCATGACAACTCCATAAATATTTACCAGCAGCAGCCACGGCGCTTCGCTTGAGGAGAGCTCGTCTGCAGGCTACCTCTGCAATGTTTTTCTTTTACCCCTTTTTTTCCATTGTTGTCTCTCACAACTGTAGTATGTGTTGTTTTGATGATTTCCTTTGGATGTTGATGTCTTCTTTTTTTTTTCGGAGAGGAGTGTTTTTACTAGCGCTGCTTTCGCCGTTTACACACTATCATCCGACTGGAATGTCAGGATGTCCTGAATTTTAGCACTACATTGTATCTGCACAATGTATGTATGCGGCACGCTGTGGTAAACACATTAAAAGACGAGTTGGACTCCACTTCTTGGAAATCGAGTTCAGCAGTAGCACAGGAAACATCAGGGCAAAAATTAGCTTACACACGGTATCTGAATTCAATTACAGTTCAAAGGTTTTATAAATTTATATTTATATATAGACGTTGCACTAAAGCACCAACATCTCAGACTAAAACACATGGGCGCTACTGCCCACCGGACTCCATTGACAAAACCAGAAATTTTACCTTACAGGTAAATCGTAAAACAGACTTCAAACTGGACAGAAACAAAATAAATCTCCATCTTTCCACCACCAACTATCACCAGTGCTGGTTTGGTTAAAATAAACCATTAATCCACCGAGTTAGATATTAAAATGTTTGTGAAACGAGTTGCAATGGCGATAACGGAATCGGTGGGTACGTCCACCAGAAGTGGTGACAACATTATGGAAAGAATCGCTGCAGAGACGGACCTTTTGTTAAAGAGTAAGACCCTTTTTGTTTAACCAGAAAACAGCTGATGCATCGATCTCAGTTGCCACCAGACTCCATTGACAAAAACTGTAATAACTAGGACAAAATAAAACTCATCAGAACCATCTTTGTTATTCTTTCCACTGTTCCAACAATCACCGACATCGATTTGGTCGAAAGAAATCCTTAATTTGCCAACGTAGATAAGAAAACAAACCACCGTTTCAGTCGCCCCTCAAAGCCAACAGTCTGACACATGCAGCAACACGCATGTGCTGCCAGGACGGCTGCTTTAACAAGGAACAAAGCAGCTTGGACAACAAAACTCACAGAGGGAGCGAGGGAGACGCAATTACTCCACTGTATCTTTAGATGGCAAATAACTGTTTAACCTTTAACCTGTAACCTTTAAACACATAAACTAAAGGTGGGATTGTTGTGAGTGGAGCACAGTGTGCGTGTCAGGATTTTAGCATTTGATTTCTAATTGATTGATTGATTAATCAATTTTCTGCCACTGATCTGGTCCATGTTGCATTAATATATATTTGTATTGATGCTGGAATAAAATCTGATATATATTCCGTCATACTTCATCATATTTACTAGTATTAAAGAGGTTTTATTAGTCTTAAGTTGCATCTCTGCACAAACTCACAGATTAACTGACACAAATCCACTGTTAAGTGATTAATTAATGAATCACTTTAAGCACAGTTTAAAGCTCCTTGCTCTCTCCTTTCTGACAGATGATGGGAAGATCTTTCACGGCAGCGGGGTTGGAGACGCTTTTGGTCCTCGCTGCTTTAAAGGTGACATCATGGGCTGCGGCATCATGTTCCCACGAGACTACATCCTGGAAGGAGAAGGTGAGGGCTGAGGGTTCGGGGCGCTACGATTACGCTGTCACTCATTAAAGTGGTTGGTTTGTGTCCGTGGGAGGTTTCGCTCTTAAAACCTGCTTATCGTGGTTTAGCACGAGGCGGTTGCGGCAACATTCGGTCTTAACACAGTTCATTGTGTTGCATGTGGGAAAGAAACTGGATGCAAACCAAGATCCCCCGCACGGCAAACAGAGCAGTCACTTAAAGGGGAAATTCTTAACCCCTCCTCTTTGCATGAGAGACAAATATAGGCTTTCCTGCTCTCAGGTGGTTCCAGCACATCCGTTTCAATTTAGAGGTACAAATGTTAAAACGTCTCAAAACAAAACATCTCAGGTTGTGTCTTTAATTAACATGTCTTTCTGTTTTCTGGTGTTTTTTACACAGCAACAGCTCTGCCCCGCTCAAACACACTGTGCTCTGGTTTGTCCTCAGGTGACGTGGACGACTGGGATCGACTGGAGGTGCGTCCAGGTCACGCAGGTGTCCAGAACGTTCTGTACCTCAACGACGAAGAGGAGGAGGAAGAAGATGGGGAAGAGGTAGAGCAGGGACAGGAGGGCAGGAAGGTCACGGTGAGGAACACTCATAAAACAAAAAAAAGCACATCTGTGTTAACCATTGCTTCACAACATATATGAGCTATACATGCTTTAGATTCATTAGCATTTTATGATTTAAACAGGAAATAATGCAAACCTGCAGTGATACTTTTGGCCACTTTGGCCAACAAGCTGTAAACATCAACATACCATCACCTTTTAGATTTTACTTTCTTAATTTCTCATACAACGCCTCTGTTTGGTTTGGTGAATGAAATCTGAATTCCGGTTTAATAATGAGCACAAATCACAATATCTGACAGTGAAACTGGAAAACAACATAAAACTGGAGATGCCGGTTACGCTCTGTAACAGTCCAGCAGAGAGCAGGGTAGGAGAGAAAACATGAGCCCAGAGGCACGAGGGAGAGCCTACACAGGGGCGGGGAGGCACAGTAGGGCTGCACTAATGTTTGTTAGATGTGTATATATATATATATATATATATATATTATGTAATGTAAAATATTATGTAATAATGTTTTCATTATCAATTAATGTTTTCATTATCAATTAATCTTCAGTTTATTGGCATTTTAAATATCAAATAAAGTCTTAACAGTTCTCAGTCTAAGGTGGCATCTTCAGATGTCTTGTTTCATTCGTACAAGAATATAAAAGCCAGAAAATATTTACATTTGAGAATGAAAAAAAAAATGACTTGAATGATTATTAGATTATTAATATTGTTGGCAATTAATTTTCTTTCGATTGATTAATTGACTAATCATTGCAGCATTATTCACATAAAGCCTTTCAGACATCTGTTCCTTATATGTAAATATTATTAAATATAATCACTTTTTCTTGTATTGAGCAAAACAATCTGCCAGCGGAGTGACACAGTCTTTGCTTAGCTAGAATCCTTAAAACCAAATATAAAAATGTGAAAGACTTGATTTCCAACAACTGGGACAAGACGACTTTCTGAGAAGTGCTCTTAAATAATCTTGTTCCTCTGCTGCAATCTGCGTATCCGTCATTTTTTAATTGGAAGATACCACATTTGGAATAAGGCTTAATTAGGAATATAGAAACACAGATGTTGTTTTATTACTTATCCATGTGCTTATTGTCGTTATCGTTATAAAGTTTCAGTCGACACACGCCTCGCTGTAACGTCACTTTAATCCTCTCCTCATCCAACCGACGCCCGCGTTCAACTGTTTTTGTTTTTTGTTGTTTTAATTAATGTCTTCCTTGTACTTGCTCGTACGCTGGACTGACTTGCCACACATTTGTGGAAGTAGAGGCGGGCGGCGGTGTGGTGGTGGTGGTGGTGGGTGGCGTTGGGGAAGGAGGGTAGGGAGGGGGGGAGGGTGTGAGTGCACGCAGTACTGAAACCCAAGTGGGTGAGAATAGAACAGGCCAAGTCGTAATCCAGGGATTTGTCAATATTTGCTCAGCAGGACATATTGCCCTGAGTGCCCTGCTCCTCGACATCACCGAGGTCTCTGTGGGCACGGCTGCACGTGTCCGCGGCTGTCGGTGGGGGAGGGAGGTGGGAGGTTGTTGGTGGTGTTCGAACTAATGAAGCCTGTTGCAGTTTCACTCACCCATCATCTGTAATTGAATAGCGGTTAAGCCTTTCTTTTTTTCGAGTGGGTGGTACGGTAAATGTTTGATATGTGACTCAGCCTGATTTATCGAAGACACACACTCCACAGTACTTCACTTGTTGTTTTAGTGTGTCGGTGTTTGCTCGCAGACTTGGAAAGAAGCCCTCGGTATTAGCATTGAAAAGCTTGTTGATGTTCTTTTGAGAACAGCTGGATAATGTTTGATCACTCACTGATTTAGTAGAGACATGTACTGTAAACATTGACTTTTTTTCCCACATTTCTCTGTCACCTGTTTGTTTAACCATATTTCCTAACTGCACATAATTCCTATTTACAACTGGCACACGAGTGCTCTCAAATGAAGTTTGCATCAGTATCAGTCATTATGAAAAGACTTTTCTTTCATGACCAATTGTCCCACCAGCAGATTTGCAGTGAAAGGTGTGTGTTTCTTTCTTTGTTTTTAACTCGCTGTGGCCCCCCTGTGGCCCTCGCAGGTGTTCTTCACGAGGAACGGGAAGCTGATGGGCCGGAGGGAGATGGCGGTCCCTCCCGGCGGCCTCTACCCCACCGTGGGGATGCTGAGCAGCGGAGAGAAGGTGAAGGTGGATCTGCATCCCCTCAGCGGGTGAGCTGGGAGCGCGGTACCGAAACCTCGTGGACGCCCTGCAAACAGCTGGCTGCGCTGTAGAGCTCACCCACGGTAGCCTAGCATGCTGCTAACACTCGCCAGAACACACTCAGTTCAGCTGCACACGTGCACGTCGCCGTCGTCTTCCTCGACACTGCCTCAGCTTTAATTTATAAGACTTTGTACATTTCACCAGAAACGACCAGAGCGGAGGGGGGAGAGGGGTCCTACGTTTTGGGGGGCCGCGTAGGTTACAGCATGTACAAAGTGCACCCTGAAGCTAAAACTGTAAGATATTTAACTGTTAATTCTATGCAATGGATCTGTACTGCTATCATCCTCTCACATCTTAACCTCCTCCTGCATGCGAGCGTGTCTCTGAAACTCTGAGCTGTTAAATCCCTCTCATGAGGTCTGGCACACTCACTTTATTTCATTTGTCACGACCCCAAGCAAAGCAGAGCGAGGCCAACAGTTGTGCCGAGTCAGAGCTCGTTGGCGGTTTATGTTTCAGGGAATACACCCTCCCTCCCTCTCTCTCTCTTTTTTTCCTCTCTCTTTCTCTTTTGGTCTCTCACACAGTCTTTCTCAACCTCCCTCTCCCTGTCCCTCTCTCTGGGTGAGGCTGCCCTCCTGTGAGCGATCAGGGACCTGCTGTTGCCCCACCTCGCTCGCTCTGCTCTCCCGGAGCTGGCTGGAAGTGAACAGTGGGCCTGTTGCGATATTTCAGAAATGCATCCACGCTCTTCTTGCACGAGCATTATTATTATTGCAGGTTTTTGTTTCTGAGAGTGGATGAATTGAGTGTTTTATAGTTTCACGTTGGAGCCAGACTACGAATAAAAAACAGGTATATTTTCTACAGAGGATCTGGTAAACACACACACTCAAATGTATCTTCTGCATCAAAAGTTCAGGGATTGTTTTGTTTGTGCACTTTGAGGACATGAGATAGTCACATGGAAGGGAGGCTGGGGGAGACATTTAGGGCGGACGTGCATTCAGTGGGTGGACAAAATAAAGAAACACCTTCCAGTATAAAGCAATCTGATGCAACACCACAATCTACAGCCATAAAAATAACCACAGAGTTAAATAAACACCTCTGAGAGCAAAATGTAACTTTGCAAACCTCACACAGAAGTATCAGTTGCAGGTCTGTTGGATTGCATCATACTGTAAAGTGTTATTCTGTGTTTGAATTCTCCTTTCACTCACTGAGCATGTTTCCCCTTCGACATGAAGGATCATTTCCCGTCTGTTTCCTCCTTTTTAACCAGAACGTTTTGATGCAGTTTTAAAAAAACCTGCTTGAATCCTCTGTTTTGCCTTTGTAGTCAGAAGATAACTTCCTCTCTGTGTTGTAGAATTAACTGCTAGATGTTTTTTGTTTCTGAAGATGAAGACAATGTTTGGTTGCTGCGCGTGCTGCATGTTTAAAGATATCTTTAGTGATGTGTTTGTGTGTCTGCACAGCGTAGGACAGCTGCAGCAGGAGCCTGCATCACAAAGTGCAGAGTGAGCCGTCGGTCGTCTTTGGGCTCGAGTCCGGCTCACTTTTAAACCGGGTTAGATCGCCGTTGTTACCTATGCAGGGCAACATCGTGGATCGTTTACCTATATAATTATGTCAATGATCGAAGAAACATTTTTTGACTTTAATCATCGATTAATCTGCTTTGTACTGTATTGTCTTTATTGATTCATTGTTTTTTGTCTTTAAAATGTTAGAAAATTGTAAAAAAAAAAAAAAAAAACCACCATCACAAAAACCCTAAAACCTAAGTTAATGTCTTCATACTAGCGGTGTGCGTCTCTCCCTTCTAAGAGAATCTGATACGTATCCAGATACACGGCGCTACGATACGATTCGGGGACAATTCAGTGGGATTTGACTCCCATCTTAATTTTATCCTCTCTGTGGACGACCTGAAGCCACAGATCTCCTCTTTTACTGTCCTTCACTCTCTGGGGAAGTAAATAAAATCAAAGCTTTTAAGAGTTTACAGCACTCGTTTCAACCAACTACAGCAGTGAAAATCTTGCTTTTACATTAATATTACACATATATATGATAGTAGAACAGAAACGGGACATTTCACTGCGCTTTAGTACTTTTAACAGAACATTTCTCCTGATTACACTCAGGATGAAGGATCTTAACACACAGAGCTTTGTGATTCAGGCTCCAGAAATAAAAACAATCCGTGCTGGTGAATGAGAAAATACTGTTATTGTGTCAGTGGGAGCTGGTTTCCACACAAATATTAAGAATGGTGTTTTTATTGTATGTGTGTGTTTGATTAAAGGGAATGATGATATCAACATTATTCTAATGTATAAATCCGTTAAACAACCTCTGCATCTGCTCACATCTGTATTAGTCCATTACAGCAGCTGTGTACATTCCTCTGCGCCTCCCTGTGAGTCGCATACAGCAGGTTTCTCTGTCACTCATTCATTACACTAGAACACTGCAGACCGTAATGCTAGACATATAACGTGATGTATAATTACTACACAGGGTTAACTATTAAAATCACGTATCTGCTGGAGATCGTACGTTTGTTTTTAGCTGTCGTCTGTTTGTTTTTTTTGGTGCCATTGATAATGAAATTATGTAAATCAGTCTTGTTTTTCTCCTCCTGCAGGGCTGGATAGAGACTTAAGTTCAGGTCATTACAGCCTGAAACTGTAAAACTTATGCTAGACGGTGCAAAGATATTAACGAGACACTGACGTGGACGGTTGTTGTTCTTCCGGCCACGTCTAAGTTCAGGGTATTAAAGTCACTTCTATTAAAGTTTACGCAGAATCTCAGTTTACAGAAAGTTTCACGGTTCAACCAAATTAGAGCTAAATCTGATTTTAAATGTTTGTAGCGACTTTACTCACCGAGGACTCGTGTAATAACTCCTCGCCTTGTTGACTTGCACTATAATGGCCTTGTTCAGTACATGTATGATCATCAATAAAGGTTTCAGTAACTTAAGTGACGGCTTGTTTTGTTTGAAATGTTCTTTTTGAAAGAGTTTCTGTCATCCTGTATAAAGGTTTTATACATTGTGCTTCATTAATGGGTTTTAAATATTCTAAAAATCTGTGTTTTTATTATATTTGATAAATATATAGTTAGACATGTTAATAATAATCACCTCTGTTTTCCAGCACTGGCACAAATTACACAC